TGCCATAGTGCCTTGTGCTTCTGTAAACTGCACTGGCTGCCCAACATAGCTGACTGGTGTTTGTATCTGTGGACAAATACCCACAGCTACTCAATGAGTTCCAGAAAAGGTCCGTAGCTGAGTCACTGATACGGCAAATTTCATTTGACACAACGGGTAGGGTGTGGGACAAACCTTTGCAACATTTCTTACCAAATGGAAAGCAGTCACCTAAAATGACTTTTGTGTGTTCACAAAAATGATGAGGGATTTTACCAAGGCAAAGAGAAAGTGAGAACAACTCATGCATTTTCCCCTGCTCTGTTATGTAGTGCATAACAGAGACATGCTGTAGAGGGACAAGTTTGATGTGTGAATCACCAAGAACTGGTCACAGAAGATATATTAGTACTTGAGTATTCTTGATGTGGGATGTTTAAGTATATTTATATTTCTCTCTCTCTCTCTCTCTCTCTCTTTTTTTTTTTCCCCTTTGGTAGAGGTTTTCTTGGTGTCTGCCCCTCCTCTACCCCACAGTGTAGTAGCGTAGTGACATGTTTTGTGTGTTTAACCTGTGCTGCTTCACAGGTCAGAACAGTCAGTTCACAGAGGCTGGGGGCCCTACACCTCCTCGGACCTCCACAGGAGGAGAACAGGGCTTGTGTGAGGCTTAGCTGCCTGCTGGGGTTAAGCCACACCACAGATACATGTTCCAGGGAGCATCCCTCTGCCTCAGCTGCCAGAGGGAAGTCAGTCAAAAAATTTCATACCGCCCTTTCAGGGTGGATGGAGCAGCTGCTCCTCCCTTCGTCCATCTGCTGGTGGCACATCTGTGCGGTCCCAGAGGGCTGCCTCTGGGAAAGCGCTGCTCTGCCTTCCAGCTACTGCTGGCTTTGGCAGCTGCTCAAGAGTTCTGCATGAATTTTGACTGTGCCTTCATGCCAGAAGATTTTGAATTCCAGTGGAGTTGTGCTGGTGTAATACAAGGGAGAACAGCATCTGCTTCCCACTTGCTTTCAAATGGGTTATTAAATGAAGATGTTGGGTTGTGTATATTGCAGATGATTTCATACTACTGATATAACAACCTGATGTGTAAGTACCATTGCATACAATGAATTAAAGTGTAAACCTTTTAGGAGGTTCTTTCAGTATATTAGAGGAACTAATATTTAGGTCACATGGATCCCAAATTAATTAGGAAATTGAAATAAAAGGCAATGGAAAAAAAAATTTTTTTAAGTAAACTCACTCTACTCTTTAAAACTTGAGGATATAAATAAAATTATAGAACAGTAATTAATCCATTAAATGATAAATTACATGAAATGTCTAAAGGGAAATTTTTCAATGTCATCATAGTAGCCAAAAAGAACCTCGTTAGGGTAAATATGCAAAGTTGGATATCTTTACTCAAGAGTGCATGCTACATTTGTCACTTCCATTGAATAGTCTGCAATTCATCTAGATCACAATTTTAATTAAATTTGGAGTTTACTTTTTTTCTTTTTTTTAATACTACAACTGAAGTTTAAGAAGAAAGCATAAAAATGCATATAGGCTGTGTACAACTCAGATCAGCAGCAACAACAAAATCTTTCCTTGTATCTGAGATAGTACAAGAAGGAATTAAGTAATGGGTATTAAGTAATGGCTACTCTGGAAATCACCTTTAGCCAGAGACTATCCTTTGTTCATAGATGTGTAAGGGCAAACTGTAACTTCAAGGATGTGACACACCATGATGTAAAACATTTCTTTTCTCTACTTTGCATCTGTCCTGGTTTCAGTTAGGACAGAGTTAATTTTCCTCCTAGTAGCTGGTAGGGCGCTATGTTTTGGATTAGGATGAGAAGAGTGCTGATAACACGCTGATGTTTTAATTGTTGCAGAGCAGTGCTTACACCAGGCCAAGGACATTTCAGCTTCAGCTTCTCACTGTCCTGCCAGGCTGGGGGTGCAGCAGGAGCTGGGAGGGGACAGACCCAGGACAGCTGACCGAAACTGGCCAAAGGGGTATTCCATACCATCTGACATCATGCTAAACAATAGATGGGAGGGCTGGCTGGGGTGGGGGGGGCCGGCTGCTCGGGGTTAGGCTGGGCATCGGTCAGCAGGTGGTGAGCATCAAATGTTTCATACACATTATTAGTAGTAGTACTATTATCATCATTATTGTTATTATTACTTTCCTGTCTTAATAAACTGTATTTATCTCAATTCACAGGCTTCACTTTCCTGTTTCTCTGCCCCATCCCAGAGAGGGGGGGGGAGGGTGAGCGAACAGCTATGTGGTGTTTAGCTGCCGGCCGGGTTAAACCACAACAGTACTTTTTGGCACCCAACGTGGGGCTCAAAGGGTTGAGATAATGACAGATCTGACCAGAGTGTGTTAAACTAAAATTGGTGTAAGTATTAGACCTGCTTAATAGTTGCTAGTCACAATGTTGATTGCTTTAATCTCAAGTCTGCTGTGCCTGTTTTCCAAATTGAGTTTTATAGCACGTTACTTTCTGTATGTGCTCCCTGTCATGCTGTTTATCCTTCTGGGCCCTGGTTTAAGATTGTTATGGTACTGTGCGGTGTAACAGTGGCTTATGAGATGATGAAATTTCTGGTCATGACTCTAACCTGGTATTTGTATTCAGCAATGTCGTCGACTCTATGCTTTGGAAACCATATCTCGGAAACTATGAACAATTACACCTATTGCTTTTTTTCGTCAGGGAGCCAATCTGTGGAGGGGAAAGGGGAAGATATCTTTTCCTACTTGTTCACTCTCCCTTTCTTCTTCACCACCCTCTTATCCTCCTAGCTTGTTGTACAGTGGGGCTTCTTCAGCATGGACCACCTCCTCCTCTGATGATATCCCAAAGTATTTGCCTTCTGGCCAGTCCAGGTCCACCTGAGCCACTTCATCCACTGTGGGTTCCTCATCCTCTTTCCAGGCCATTATTGCCAATGAGCTTGCATATGATGATGGTGCACTCTGTACAAACTTCCACCACATGGGTTGTGTATGCTTGACTTCATCTGGATCTGTGGATGTTTGTCTATTGTCTAGGTCTTCATAAATCACCTCCCGTACAGCTAATTCCCTCGGGTAAATTAACTCTGCCCTAACTGAAATCAGGATAGCATCTAAAAATTGAAGGGGAAGATGAAGGAGAAGAAATCAGGCTCTGTTCTCCTGGAGGTATTCAGCTGTTTTCCTGGCTATGTGAAATGAACCCCATTTATTTTTTGACTTTAGCAGGCTTCTGTATCAGAAACACGAAAGAAACCAAACTGAACTCTGTGTGTTTGTGTATAACGTGTCTTAATTTAGGGATTGTCTGAAACTTAAGAAAATGGTAAAAGTCTTATTTTGAAATTCAAATCAAAAAAAAAAAAAAAAAAAGCCTTTAATATGAACTCGTACCCAGCTCTAAGATTCTGTTGGTAAACATAAAACATGTATTTTTACGTTACATAAAACTGTTTTTCCAGGACTGGTATTAGGCAGGAGTTTACAAGTGTCAGTTCAAGCACATCCCAAGAAATTAAGTTGTCAAAGTATGGAAAATCTTATCTCTAGTTTCTAATCTCCATCAGAAGATAGAAAAAAAGCTAATGAGATATTACATAAAACAATCCCATCAGATGTTCTACTTTTGTAAGTTTTTAAATCTAGATAACTCCTGAGATCCTAAACGTAGTCTGTGGAAATACCACAGGCCTGCAGGTGGCCAGAAGCACATAATTTCATGAGGCTTCATCCTGATATTTGAACATTATATCCATAACTTTAGATATGCAAGGAATATCATTATGTTGGTTGACTGCAAGGTCCTTGGACAAAGGTTTCTAGAAAAATAGCTATTTTAGCATTTTGTGACCCATGGTACTATTACATGCAAAAGAAAAATCTACATATTCAATTGATTTTTTAATGAATTATACTGTGTGAATATATTTGTATTATTGTAATAAACTCATTTCCTTTATTATTTGCTACCTTAAAATGGCTAAACATTTAAAAAAAAAAAAAAAAGTTTAAATCTCTGAAAGTAAATTCTCAAGAAATACTTCAGAAATAAATTTTTTGAAGCAAAACTGATCACGTTTGCTGTTGGCAAGTACCAATGAACCTTTCTATTTCAAAGACAGAACAGTCTTCTACCAGAAATGTGGAAGCATGGGTAAATGCAGTTACTCTAAAGCAAAGAATATTTCTTTCTGTGCTGGAGAGCTCTTCTCCCCATAACACATGTTCATATTGTGTCCAAATCAATTATTTCACATAATGACAGTAAAGGCGTGGTAATGGTTTTGTCACAGTAGGAATATTTCCCCCTTTAAAAAATGAATGTCTTGTCTTTGCTGTGTTTGTTGACAATGTGAGCGAGACCATTTATTATTGAATAACATGGCATTATCTCTGCACTAAATTACAGGAGCCTTATTTAAAGACAGCTTTGTTCAACAGAGGTTTTTTTGGCAAGCAAAGAATGGCTCATCCTAGTTGCACATGCAAGCTATGTTCCTAACATTTTGCATATTTTTGGAAGCTTTCTCTGATCTTATTGCATGAAAATGTTATTTTAAAGACATGAGCTAGCAAAAATAAAGCTATTATTTCAATATTTATTACAACGACAAACAATAATTCAAATCCTCAGTTTAATATCTTCTTGACATCACGTATTGCCCAAGATCTCCCCAAGCAAGATACAATTTTTTATGCTGGCAAATACTGTTGACCCAGCTCTAAGCAGTAGGCTGGATTAGATGACCTTCTGAGGTGTCTTCAAATCTGAATTATCCTATGACATCTTCTAATTTTATTTGGAAACTATTAAAAGTCACTTTTAATTAAAAGTTGAATAAAGTATCAAATGCCTTATTTTCCTCAAAACTTATTTTTCCTCAAAGCTTTGCAATATTTATTGCCTTTTTTTTTTTTTTTTCTTCTGAAAGGCTGATGGTTTTCACAGGTATATGCTGTATTGGCAGGTTCCTAAGCAATCTATTTATATTCTTTGATCAAAGCTGTATCCCGAAATAAATTTAAATTTAACCAGATGATAGCTGCAGTTACATAATCTAAAAATATCAATGATGGAAAATTTTAAAGCATTTGGTTGCTGTAAGGAGCGCAGGCCCAGTGAGAGTGACAGGTAACTGGACTCCTCATTTGATGAGGCACCCTGGAGCATTCAGAGCTGATTACCTGGATGCAGGCCACCATGCTGCATGGCAGACAGCATGGGGCATGTTTGTGCATCAAAATGGAGAGGGAAGGCAGCAAGAAATGTGACTTCCCACCACCCCCATGGCTTCCAGCTGGGAACAGCTCTGTGAGCTGAGAGCCCTGAAATGGCCACCCTGAAATGGCCGCCCTCCAGGTGAGCTGTCATGGAGGCCAATGGGTGGGCACCTGGGCCTTGATGTCCTTTTTATAGCACACACATGAGTGCTGTGGTAAAATCTCCAGAGTTCTAGTGATGGATATTCTCTCAGCATGCTACAGAGGTACTACTGTACTACTTTTTTTTTTTTTTTTTTTTTTTTTTTTTTTTTTAAGTAATACTAGTAGTGCTTTCTGCCTTGCCCTGCTACTTTAGGAAAAAGCTTTTCAAAATCTGAAGCACTTTCAGTCACTTGAGGAGTTTGGGCAGTGAAGTCCTATGGACTGCTAATGGAAGTAGGGGTAGTGTTTTATGCCTGCCTCAGGTCCTGGCCTGAGACAGATTGCTCTTCAAAGTCCATTACAAACTAGTCATGAAGGGGCTGTTGCTTCAGTAAAATGTCTGTAACGCAGATGATTTTATTCATTTGTCTGGAGTGGAAAAAAATAGCTTTTCACGTGTGTAACTCCACTAGATGTGGGCTGCTTACTGTATTAGACACCCACCCTGTAGCATATTAAATAGATAACTTCTTTTACATAATAAAGATCTCAAACTGATTAAGAAAAAAAAAAAAAGTCAGAATGGACTCATACTTCTAAAAAAACCCACTAAATATTCAGACTCAGTAAAAAAAAAATATATTTTTTTTCAAAACGCATTCAGCTCTCTGAATCTTGAGATTGTGTGTGAGATGTATTCTTACATCTTTCTGTCCCTTTTAAAAAAATATATGTTTTTCTTCTAGTCCCTGGACTCTAGAAACGTGGGCATTGAAAGTGTACTCATTGTGGTAATCAGGATATAAGAATTCACACTCTGCTGTTTGGTTTCTTCTGGGATTGATTTCTCATGTACTTTTGGATTGACTATTGAAAGTATAGTTAAGAGAAAAGAAGTGGATAAATAAGATGAAGAAAGCAATGAAAATCCTTTTTCTATTTTTTTTGTGTTTTTTTTTTTTCCTTTTCTTTTTACTAAGCCACTGCAAAATGCATAATTAGAAAATGCACTATTTTCTGTGTCTGATTTATGACAAAGCTTTGAATTAATAATTGGGTAATCCATTATATGAACTATTTCAGAACTAGCAAGAACAATGTTCAAATGCATTTCAATACAGTAAACATTCAAAAGAAGCAATAACAATATTGGTAGATGGCAAGCAGAGATATAATTGCCTTTGGATCGAAAACTGCAGTTTAGGCCCCCATTTTGTTTGTTCAAAGGTTGTCTGTTAAATGTTCTTTCAACGCAGGTGCATGCAATTAATCTCACAGAAATCAATGAAATTGTATGTGGGTGTATGAGAGAAAAAAAAATATTATTAAATAAGAAATTATTCTATTTAATAAAGTTCCTTGCTTATGTTTATCTTGCTTCCATGTTTCAAAAGCTTCTAAATAATATTTACTTTAAAGGTTGGTCTGCATGTCATTCATTCTACATGCACAGTGTCAGAGTGAGCTGTGGGTATTGTTTCTTTCTCCACCACTGAACTGCTGGAGCAACGTACTGCTGTGAAAAACTGAGCCTTTCCAACAGAATTAGCAATACTGTCACACCTTAAATGCAAAGGTAAAGAGGTAAATAGTTTCTCCAAGCAATATAGCTATTTTTAGTTACATCTATTTCCTCTAAATAGTCAGGCTGATTGTACTTTTTTTTTTTTTTTTTTTTTTTTTTAGTCAATACAGTTATTTTGTAGAAAAAGTGGATTTTCTTTGACAAATATTTTCAGAGGTGTCTTACTTGGGTGGATTATTTTCCTTCAAATGGTTTACAATGCCAGTATTTGGCTGATAATAAGGTATTTCACTCAAATATTCTGTTACAGTACCTTCTGGAAATCATGGTTGTTTTTTTCTTAGGTTATTATAAGATTGGGCTCGGCAGCTCTGTTAAATTGCTCCTGATGTGCTCTGTCCACAGACTTCCATGATATACCTGGCTTTTTCATGATGAGGAAGAGTATGTTGCACCATTGAAAATGTAGTGCAACCTAGAAGAAAAAATCTGTGAATGAGACTAATAATATGAAATGTTAGAACTACAACTCCACTGGATCTCCCAGTTGGCAATATTTCTGATCTGAAATATTTTTTCTTCTTCTCTAATAATTTTTGCAGTTTCTTTTTAAGGAGTGGGAATGGTTGTGAAGAACAGAAATAGTTCCATATAGAAGTGCTGATAGCTCTCTTTCATTGTTTTTCATTTCTGTTAGCATTTTCCTGGGAAAAAATACATTCTTTTTCTACCAGCGTTTTTAATCAGGTACTTAGTATTCATGATTAATATCATGAATACAGTGTGAGATATGTTATAAATGTACTTCACTGCTTTAGTTCTTCAGCTATACAAATAAACCTTTAAAAAGGTCTTACACGTGGAGGAAAAAAAAAATATCCTTCTGTATCTCAGCCGTGGACACAGAATTCATTTCTGTGAATATTCTTATGAACAAAATGTCAAACATATGGATGTTTTAAAAAGGAAACAAAAAAGGCTGTTAAAAACATTAAGTCACATTTCTAATTAGAAGCCAGTTGAATCTGTTTGATGATGTTAATGCTACTCAAACTGTTGCACTGGCAACTCTTGGCAAATATTTATTTTTGAAATGGTGACTACCGTGTGGTTGTTGTAGGGAACTGACTTGTAAATTATATTTAATGCCAAAAGAAAGGATAAGACAATCTAAACTGGAGTTGTAAATTTGATGTCCAGGTTCAGATGTGTACACTGAGCTTTGTCTTGGTGCTTTCTTCCCTATGGGAAGGAAACACGATAACAAGAGATGGGAAGAGCTGTAGTTCAGGCCACTGGAAATGTACCGTGGAATGTACCATGAATGTACCATGGAAAATATTTGGGTTTTACTGAATAATACATGCAAATTAGGTTATATGGCAGTCACATAGCTGTAATAAGTGTAAACTCAAATGATATGGCCAATATTCCTCAGGAACTATGGTCTGACTTCTAGGAATATATGTTTTTGTTTGTTTGTTTGTTTTTTTAATTTGTGTTTTGAATGGTTGCAGAAAAGCAACAAATTGCTAATTACTAAAAAAAAATGAATAATCTGCTTGTGGATCATTTGCAAGAAGGGAAAACTGTTAAGAAGTACTTCAATCAGTGCCATGTGTCATCTATAGTTGATGAGGAAGGCACGCAGAGGCAGCTGAAAGGCAATCTATAGTTGCTGATATGAAATCTAAAAGTACTCGTTTCTTATTCCAGTGGGATTCCCAATTTTGATTTGGTAGTCCAGGTTGTGCTGTTTATATCCTGGCTAGTATTTGGCATCGTGTAAGCTATAGATAATAACAGAAAGGTGAGCTATACACTGTAGGTAGCTCATCTGGCTCAGCCATTATTCCCTTGTGAAGGAAATGGCACCTGGAAGGGGAAAGCTGCAGATATGTGGCAGTGGAAAAGACAAACAAAAACTAAGAAGTTGAGCAATAAACGCTGTCCGTAGGATAGCAATAGCGTGATTTAGTAACACATGCAACAGCCATTGGTTTTGAGATGAGAGCAACCATTGTTTGTCATGTGTCAGGATGATCAATGGATTGTTTTTCTGTTACGTCAACACAGCTTTACTTCAATATGTTACAGCATTGAATCAACATATTACAATGCCTGAACGCAGCTCTGAAGGGAAAAAAGGTTGTTGGTCCAGTGGCAGGAACTAACACTTTTCTTGTATAAACATCAATTATTACAATGATTAGATGCCCTGAAAATATATTCCCCATAAGCTGGCTGCTACCGTGTACTCTGAGAGAGATGTTGAACAGAGTAAAAGCTCTCCTGGTAGCTGTTGTAAATGAGGATTTGTCTCTCATCTTGGTACATGCACATTGCCTCAGGGTTTTTTTATTGAAAAATGTCAACAGCAAACAGAGCCTGTGCTGAAAGGAAATCCTGCCAGAAGATCATAGAAAACCAGAGTTTGAAAAGGACCTTGTAGACTGGGAAGGGTATCGGCTCCAGTCCCTAATCAAAGTAAGGCCAAATTGGAAAAGTTTTCTCAGGGCATTGCATACCTGGATTTCTGTGGGGACTTCCTTTTTGAATAGATGGATCATTTGCTACCTGATCATGTGCACAGGCACTCTGAGTAAAGTCTGGATGTTTAAGGTGTATCTAGACAATGGGAATGGTGCTCTGTGCAGAGCATGCTACAGGAACTTCTTTATATTTTCTGGTTTCCTTCTCTGAATGAGTCCTCAAAAAGTAAGAGAGACTGTTAGAGGGAAAATAAAGAGGAAAAAGGACCCCGGCAGGTGGTTGCAGGAGTATCCTGGCTATGCCTTGATCTTGAGCTGAGATACTGAGTATGACTTATTGTGGACAGGACAACGCAAGCAAGAGCTGAGCGTACTGAGCCTTGGCGTGGGCTGGAAAGATGTATAGTGATATTGCTGGCATTTAGTTGGCAGCCTGTGCCAGCACCTAGCTAGAAACCCCTCCAGCATTTGAGATCAAGGGAAGCACTGCTGTGCAGACATCCAGCGCTGCATAGAAGAAGAAAATAGCAGGTAAAACTGCTGCTTCTTGGTGCACAGCTGTTGGGTGTCCTGCTTTCTTCAGATCATACTGTGCTGACTCACTGCCATGGTACCCGGGTCAAGGCTCAGTTTGTGACTACGCGAGCGTAACGCTTTTGCAGCCAAACCCAATGCCTGCTTGGTCTGCTTAATCAGTTGAGCTTAGCAGCATCACACTGCCTGGTGTTCTCTTTCCCCTGTGACACTGGTCAGCATCACTCTGTGGGTCAGCAGCTCCCTGCACAGCTTTTGGCTGCTGTGAAACATGGCAGTGGGCTAGGCTGGTGACAGATGAGCAGATGTGGATCAGCTGAAAACTACTTTTGCATGCAATGCAAGCACCAATCTGCACCCCCTGATTGTGGAAGCAGATTGCTTGCGAAGATGTTATTTTAATAGTAGTTGAACTTGCGTCCCAGAAATCTTTCTTCTTTTTTCAGATAAGTGAAACGCTTATAATTAATTCAAAACTCTGAGTGTTGTGTTACTGATAAGTATTCTCTCTGGCTAGAGTCTCGCATACTTCACATTACGTCAAAAGAAAGCAAAGCAAGTGAAAGATACTTCAAAAAGAAAAAGGCTGCTAACTAAACAGAAATATTTCTCATTATTGTTTTAGCATAATAAATGCCTTAAAAAACATGTATGCAAATTTCTTTGTTTCTTGACCAGGACCAGTGAATGTAGCTGTTTTGCTCCTTTGCAGGGAAAAAATTCAGGAAGTATAGGAATATCCTGAAGTATGACTGATGCACCTGTCATTGACTGTTTTGACAGTGTGAATCAGAATGTATGGTAATAGTCTGTAGGCACAGGAAAACCACTTCATGCCAAATAGGTTTAGCGAGTTTTAATTTTGCACAGTTATACCCAACTACAGCATACTTATGAATAATAACCCATTCAGTGAGGAAAACATGTTTGGACAGGTGTTTGGCGGAGAACTCCCACTGCATACAAGAATTGCAATAAACCCAATCACTGGTTACCAAAGTTTTTGGAGCAATGCCCACTGCATCTTACTCTGTACCAGCTGAAAGCCAAAAATATAAGAGGAGCATACTGGAGGAACCCTTGTCAGTTTAAAATACTCCTTGAAATACATATCAGCAGATTCCGTACCATCAGTTGCTCTTTGCTTAACTTTGTGCTGCTGCATAGCATACAAGGTATCAGTGAATGCAAGCAGCGCTTGGTTGTCTCTGCTCAACAAGTTCTCCATTTCTGCTCAGTTGTCTGGCTACAAAAATATCATGAGATGTAATTAAATATTATGGAGGAATCACTTTAGCCCACAAGGAAGGAGCTAATTCCACACACAAATGAAAGGCTTATGGAACTCAGCTGTGGCTCTGGCCATGTGCAGGGATTGAAATTAACCATAAAAACCCAACATGTTTTTATCAGGGTTTTTAAGCAGTTTCTCCCTTTAAAGCAGTGGGCCTGACTTTATCCTCATGGTATCAGCATAAGGTAGATTTCATTCAGTTGGAAGAAGATCAGCTCAGTGTTTTGTAGCAATATGGCATTGCCTTTCCTTCTGGAATTTTTAAATGAAAATTGAATCTGGATGGTAATTCTGAATATATTCACAGTGAGCCTCTGTAATAAGAATTACTGCTGATCTGTTACCTCTTCCCACCCAGCAGCCTATCAAGGAACTAATTTAACAACAAACTGTTAAGGTAGAAATACACATTAGAGGGACATACACGTGGTGGGAGGTGGGGAGGGTTGGAAGTAGAGTTAAATTATTTTCCTCAAATAATTCCTTCTTTACCATGGCCGTTTTAAAGAATACCTAAAAGGGTCGAGTTCCTCTTACCACTAGCCTCTAAGTTCTCTTAGCTCTGGAATAAGCTGAGAAGCAGGTGAGGTTAACTGTATTTCTCCTACTGAAGGTGTTTTGTTTTGTCTTAATGCTTTCAGCCACTTAACTATAGTCTGCTCTGTGATAGTTTAGAAATTTTAAATTAACTTTGAACTTAGCAAGCTTTGTAACTGATGTAATTCGACGTTGCTCCATTGACTTTGCAGTGTCAACCCTCACCGGAGGAGGAGATGGAGTGCCATTTCCAGTGTTTGCAGAGGCAAGAAGAGTTCAGCCCTTACAAAAATGTAAATGTTGTGATCTTTGAAGGAAATGTATGTGAATTCTAAGTAACCTCATCTCTCTTTGAAAGTAACAAGCATGCCCTGAAAAATAAACATAAAAAAAAAAAAGTCTTGTGTTAACACTGAGTTAACACAAGGTTAATCAATGGTAACAGAACTGAGCTGTTGCTTTAGGAAAATGCTGTGAAACCATAGCTGGATCAGCTGGTTACACTAACAAAAATATATTCCTGGGTTATTTTCCGCATGACTTAAAGGTTGTAATTCATAACTTGATACGTGCATCCTAAAAGAAACTGCTGTTGCAGTCTAGCTGTTTTCTAGAGATTAGGTAGTAATGGAAGCAAGGGACTAAGACCTGACTTCACACAGCCTGCTCTTCGCTGTGTGGTTCATGCACTGTTCGTTCTGTACTGGATACTCAGAGAAGCAAATTTGGATTAAGAAATTTGGCTTGATTCTAGATTGTGGTAATCAAGTCACAGAAAATTGATTTTATTTTATTTTTTTCTGATAACCCAGGCAAAATTCACACTATGAGAAGCCATCTCATTAGTTGAGTGTCAGTCTGGAGTGATCCCATGACTTCAAAGCCCTGATTCTCTTTTTTTCTGCTAATGCTCCATCTGTTCCCCTCTGCTTTCACTTTATGGTTGTGTCCTCTGCTTTATACCTCAGTGCTTCTTTTGATGTATGTCTTGTGCCTGGACCAGCCTTTCATTTTGTGTGTCAAGCATGTAAACTGCATTATTGAAAGTGCCTCTGAAAACCTGTTTCTGATACTTTGGTTCTCATTGCACACTTCCATTTCATAAATGAAATTTTGACCTTATTGAAAATAATGACAAAACTCCCAATTGCACCATGAGAGACAGGATTCATTGTCTGTGTCTAGATTTGTATAAAAGAGATTGAAAAGTTTTTGGGGCAGAGACAATTGGATAGATTTCCAGTTCCTATGGTGGCACATGGGCCAGATTTTTAATATTTAGAGTGCCTAGCTATTCTAAAAATTTTTCCACTCCTGTTAAATGAAAGCTTAGGCCCATCTGAGATTGGGACATTTTTATTTGCAAGACACTTTATTTGCCATATACATTTTAAAACCATGTATTTCCACTGCCTAAAAAAAAAAAGAAAAAAAAAAAAAAGCCTCGACTCCTTGATCATCATTAATTTCAGAGGTAATAACATTTACACCCTGATTCATCCTACCTGCTATCAGCAATTTAGCTAAGGTCTTTATTGAGATCTGCATCATACTACATTTCCTCTGTAACTGGTAGCTAGAGAGGAGCAGTTTAAGGAGACAGTCTGCATCACCCTCTGATGTGCTTCTGCTCTCTCGTTTGCCTACAAAGTGGAGTTTTTGTCTGACTAGGCTCCTACTCTGGGCAACTCAGATCAGATAAAACCTTAATGCCTCAGAAAATCAAACAAAGCTTTAGCTGAATGCATACAAAATTGAGTGAAGCCAAGTTCACAGTTCACAGCCAAGTTCACTCAGGTCTGTTAGCTTGCCCAAAGTTTTACCTGATGGAAAAAGACTATAAATGCTAGCCAAGGATTCCCTCACACTCTTTCTCTCTAAGTGCAGGGCCACGATGCCCTATGCTATCCAATTCACACCCTGTGCTTTCTGTATGCATACTTTTTACATACTGCCTGATACTCAGCAATGACCCCAATGCTCAAGTCCTGTTGCAGTCAGCTTGACCTTGTGTAAACAACAGCGCTCAGACTGAGGCTGTGTATCAGGCTTGTTGCTTACCTCTGTGTTTCATTGTCTAGCCACCTCCTTTGGCTGTAAAAGCCAAAAGCAACCTTTTCATTTAGTGAATAAATATCAGGAGTCACAGGGGGATGCAAGCACAATTCTGAAGTAGTTCTACCATCACAGCATTAATGCTCTGAGAGTCTATTGTCTTTATTCTACATTTTTTTTGCAGAACCCTCATTTTCATCTGTCTAAACAGGTACAGCTTATTTATTTATTTATTTATTTATTTATTTAATCTCTTCATAAACTCTGGACTTTAGAAGCAACACAGCTGATTCAGGCATACTCTTTAGATATGTAAGGACAACTGAGACATAGAGTAAGGCAGCTACAGCAGTCTTTGGTATTCTTTCCATAGTGCTGATAAGAACAGAAGAGCAGGAAGGAAGCAGGTGATTTATATAATAATGTACAAAGAACAATGCCTGTTAGCCCTTTATAGTTCTTTGGACTGTGTTCCTTTTAGCCAACTGCTTCAGTTTAAAGATGATGCAGAAAATACTGAAGAAAGTACCTAAGAAGCAGGAAAGAAATCAAGAAAAAGGTGAAGTTTGAAGCCATACAACTGCTGCTTGTATCTTATTGGTCAGGTATGTAATGTTGACAAGTGAAAAATGAAAAACTCTTATGTCAACAATGAGGAGGTAGATCACCACAGCAGTAATCCAGACCATAACCGCTATTTTTGTAGCACAAGGTGTTGGTATTTTATTCAACTGGTAGTACAGATAAACCACTTTAAATAACCTATCTAATATGATGGCAGCAATGAATACAACCAAGCCCTGTCCTATTCAGTGGCAACATGAATAGATTAAATCTGTAGAGAAAGTCTTTGGAAGACCGGTACTCTCTGTTCAGGTAGTACCCCATATGAAATGACAGACTCATCAGCATTATGAAATAAGCAAATGTGCTGAATAGATACATGGTGATTAGTCTCCAGCTATTCCTCTAAAAGCTCAAAAGATGCTCCAAGCAATTTCACTGCAAAGTGCAGGGACAAGAATGATCAAAAATATTCACTTGTCATTTTACTCATTGCTGCAGTTCTAGAGCTTTTTCTGGCTTCGTTGTTCTTGTTGGTCGAAGTCTGCTGCCCACATTTGGATGTTAAATTCAGCTGCTTTCTAGCCAAGAGTCTGTGAAGTGAGCTGCAGAGGAAGTACAATGAAGTCTCAAGATGTGGTGTATTTATTAGCATATTGTGAGTCACTATGAGTATGATGGACTCTTTCAAACTGTTGAAACAAATATCTTATGAATATCAAACAAATATCTTAGTTGCTAGTGAAACACTTGCTCAGAGAAAGAATGCTAAACCTAGCAATACTGGCTTTAGGTATCCAGCAAAACTGCATTTAGATGAAAAACTTTGTTTTTTTTTCTTCTCTTTCATTCGTTAAGAATTGGTCCAACATCAACAAATGGCTTCAAGTTTTTTGGGGGTGGGGAGGTGAGAATACCAAATGTCTAGACCTGTGTAAATTCAACAAGTACAACATAATCATTGGAGTCATATTTGCCAAAACAACATCCAACATCCTTTTGACGTATGTTAATATCCATTAGTCTTATGTGACAGCTCCATACTTTGTTCCTAAAGTGCTGTGAACACCTGTATCATGGGGAAGGAACTCATACTGTGAAGAAGCCAGCTCATAAAGAAAGACATCTTGTGGTCCATCAGATGTACTGGACTATTCCCTGAAACCAAATGTTTAATGTTTTGATATCTGGGGTTTTTGTTTGTTTGTTCATTTAATTTTAAATTATCATTAATTAAACTTATTTTCTTTCCTTTTGTTCCTTAAAATATTTCTGGGGAATCTTTCTAAGCCTTTCACTTTATTCTATTTAATGTACTGTGTAGCAGACACCCTTTGCTTGCATATGGTCTTATCTGCTGGCAGTTGAATCTAAGTATGAACAGGGGCTTGGACTGAAAGTTTATAGAAAGACTAGATGTAGTTGAAGCTATCTAGCAGAATTGAGTTTTAGAGGCATGACTGTACCTCATAAAATAATGTGTTCTTATGGATTAAGTTCCACATTGCCTTGTGGAATACCCCCTTGTTCTTGAGCTGTCAGGGAAATAAGAAAAGGCTTCTTTATTTTCAAAGTGTTTATCACAGTACTTCTTATTCATTTGATCTGTGATGTAAATAATTTGGGTTTTATTATTATATCACAGCTGTCAGAAAACCAGAAGTAGTTCTCAAATTGAGACAAACCATCCTGTAATAGAATAAAAAAGACATGATTTTTTGTCATACAATGTGAAGTAAGACCTTTATTTTGAAGAAGAGAATAAGAAAATGGTGATTTGACCTTTATAAAACATTTCTACAGTTATCTAGGATGTTCAGAACACCCACAGCCTGTTAGTTTGCTAGCTTAACAGCAGTGAAAAAACAGAGATGGAGTGTCCTAGGCTTCTTCATCACTGGGAGTGATGCTGCCTGTTCTGGGAGTCCAGAGGGAGGTAGGACCCATGACGCTGAGCTCTATGGGAGTTGCCCACGAGAAAGGCAATCAGCACACTTGCTATCAGCCAGGTGTAAGCAACGCTACCTCCATGCCGCTTGATTCTTGAACTCCAAATAAATCTTCGTGTGGGAAAGCAGCATTTAGGCGTCAACAGTCAGCCCGCTGTTTTTTCCTACAGCTACATTTTTGTCTGTGCTCTGGTCCATTTCATTCTGTATCTTCCACTCTAGTCAACTAATTAAGGATCACGACATGGTTTTGTGAGGATCTTTCATTGGAACCTTTATAAATTAAAGATTGTCTTGCCTATGGACCCTCTGAAGGAGGGAATTTGCTCTCCGTTATCTTTGTTACTTATTGTTAGGTTTGCAGTCAGGGTCCACGCTACCTCAAAGGTAGTTGGAGCTTAGTGCCACTCTATGGATTTCATTTCTGAGGAATTCTTGAGATTCAGCAACAGGAAATTGCTCTGTAAGTTTGAGTTAACAGTAGTATGTTTGACATAGCAGCAACAGAAAGATTAGACTGAATGGTTTCTTAGCATAACTCACAACTGAAATTTACAGCAGCATTTGTCTTTCATGGCACATCTCAGAATTGTTAATGTTTTCTAATATAAAAAATTGCATAATTTTGCAGGAGTTTATCAAATTTAACAGGGTGGTGCCACCTGCAGAGTTTCTGATTTTCTTTGAACTTTTGGTGTCTCATTATGGAATAGACATGTTGGTAA